GCTACGAAGGGGGAGGTGGACGCTACGAAGGTGGAGGTGGACGCTACGAAGGGGGAGGTGGACGCTACGAAGGTGGAGGTGGACGCTACGAAGAGGGATGTAGAAGCTACGACATGGGGAAGAACCCACACAGCTCAGCCTTCCCCAAAAAGGCTCCGAAAGAGGAAAAGTCAAGGAAGAAAAAGAACATAAGAGGGAAAAATAACTCACAGCGAAGAAGGCAGATTCACTTCCTATCCGGATTGACAGAAGGCAGGTGCGCACCCTCTCCAGTGTTACTAAACATCGAATACATAAATGAGACAAAAAATTACGAACGATTTTATAAGAAGGTGAACTTCCCCCCGTCGGAGAGTAAAGGAACGGAAGAAGATTCTTCTGAACAAAGAGACGTTTTCAAATATAATCCCTTTAACGAAGTGGAGAAGAACACGAAGGTACATAACATGTGTGAGGTTAACAGTGTCAACCAGGTCGAGGTAACTCTAAAAAATAGACTCTCGACACATTTAGTCTTAAACAATGTAAGGCTCATCACCTGTGGAGTTGCTGCAGAGACGTACCCATCCGATGTTGTGTTTCTCATGCCTAGGAGGAAGAACCACACAACGAAGGTTCGCCTGTCTTTCAGGGCAAAAGAGACGGGTCTTCTATTTCTCCTTGGGGTGTCCTACTGCATCAGCTACCTCCACTTTGATCAGTACCTTCTGTACGATACGTCAATTCTGAGGAAGTGTTTCACGGGGGAGGGTTGCGGTAGGTTCTTCACGGGGGAGAGTTGCGGTAAGTCTTTCGGGGGTGAAGCCTGTGGAAAGTCCTTCTGTGATGAATCTTCCATTTGTCCTCCCCCCCAGGGCGAGAACCACCCCAGTAATACGAACTGCGCACAGGAAAATTATGAACATGTTCAGGTGGAAATGGCTGAGAAGGGCGAAAATGATGGGAAGCGTGCGCACGTGGTGGAAGAATCCATCTGTTCTCACCCCAACCCTCGCAGTAACAACCAGATAGACAGAGTTGCACTGCTCAGTTACGCATTGAAGATGTCAAACACATGTTCCGTCTTTGTTATTACGAATTATTTTTGCATCAGTTCCGAAATTAAGCTCTTTAATTTTAGCAGGTATGTGGACATCCAGTCGATGCTGCATGATGAGTCCCACTTGGAGAAGTTCTGCACGCCTTGGGAGGCCCTCGAGGAGAGCGTGCGGCGTGACGGCTCCTGGTGGGAAGGGGGAGGCCAAATGGGCGGCGAAGTGGTTGGTGGAGGGGGAAAGGGGGAGGCCCAGAAGCGAGGCTCCACTCGAAGTGGCCGCGCCGAAGAACCTAGTGAATCTTCCCCCATTGGAGGAGCGATCCCCAAGAGGTCCTCCCTGTCTGTGTCCTCCTCGTCCGAGTCGTCCCCGGAGTCGCGCCACCAAGCAGGTGACCAAGCAGCCAATCAGCCAGGTCGCGAAGCAACCAATCAAACAATTCACCAAACACGTCATCCATCTGCACGCTCATCGCGTCGCTCACCGAGCAGCTCGTCCGGCACGTCATCCTCCACAGAGCAGACAGACCATTCATGCGACGAGGAAAAGACCAACCTGCGAGGAAGCGGTGATGTCGACAAAACGAATGACGACCTGTACTTCTCCATCGACGCAAGGCACACAGAGTTACTCGAAGGGGAAACGAAATTTTTGTGCCTCATTTTGGAAAATAAGAGTTCCCATGTGGACATCAATTGCCTGAACGTGCAGGTAAAATATAAGCATAAAATGCTGGGGGATTTTTTTTTGAAGTTTTTTTTTAATCTGGCATTTCAAATGAAGCGTAACTGTGGAAGTGAGGAGGAGAAGGCTGATGTGATTCGAATCGGAGAAGGGGAACCACTAACCGTGAGAAGGGATCACTGCTTGTATATCCCGATCAGGTGCATTGGCTCCATCTTAATTAACGAGTGCGACGTACGTGTGGTGTACTCGAGTGAAAAGAGTAGTCCCTATTATGCCGTCCAGAAAATTAAGCTTCGCATTAGTGTCCTCAGAAATGTGTCCATTGACCAACTATTTTGCTTCCCCTACGTTAGTTTTAACTTCGCCGATGTGTTGGACGAAATGGTGAACTCCGATTTGTACAGCGCGAGTGTTATCGATCATTTGAGTCGAGCTATAATCACTCGGGAGAGGGATGATGTAGCCGAGGGGGCGGACGCCAGCATTATCCATGTGGGCAGCCTCAGGGGAAGGAAGCTCAGGTGTAGGGAAATCAACATGGAGAACTACTTCGAGGGGGATGCGGAGGGGCCTGCGGAGGGGCCTGCGGAGACACCAGCAGAGGGGTATGCCGATTGGCTCCCAGATCGGTTTCCAGATCGGCTTCCAGATCGGTATGCGGATTGGCTTCCAGATCGGTATGCGGATCGGCTTCCAGATCGGTATGCGGATCGGCGAGGAGGCCTACCTCCACTTCGCAAACGGTTCGCTGCGAGGAAGGACCTCACCATCTGCACGGACAACAAATATATGTTCCTAGAATTGTGCGTCAGGAACTTCAGCGGGTATGTTAACTATTGCTGTGCGAAGAAGGGGGGTATGAGGCTGCCCACGTGCGTGGTGGAGACGGATGAGAAGCCGAGTAAATGGATTCTATGGGTTCAGAGAATCAAGCGGAAGAAGAACCTCTCCTTCGCTAGCCGAGAGGATGCAGTTAGATATTTCCTACTCTACATGGATGCCCACATGTACCTCTCCTTCGACCGACACAACAAGTCAGGACTTCTCAGTCTTTACAGCTCCTACCTTAATAGTGCCTACATTTATGGGAATAAGATAGGACGTTTCTTTGTCAATTTTGAGAGGGAGGAGTCTACCTCACGGGAGGGGCTGACTTCACGGGAGGGATTGACCTCACAGGAGGGGTGCACACATGGGCGCAGCTCCATTTCTGTGACGAATGGATCCATCGGCGAGGTGAAGCGGCACGGGAAAAGGGTGACCAAGAGGGAGACCCTGTTCTGCGCGCATGCAGAAGTGGGAGCAGCCGAGGAAGTGGAAGGGGCGGTAAGAGTGGGAGCAACCGAGGAAGTGAGAGAGGGCCCCCCCCCGAAGAACCCCCTCTTCCAAACGAACTTCCCAGACGATATATTTTCCCCACAAGTAGTATTAAGCCCCCAGTTCTACAATTGCAAAAAAAAAAGCAGCGTGATTATTCCGAAGTGCTCCAGAGCGTTGGACTTCAAACACAGGAACGAAATTGGGATCAGGAAAAGTTATTTTGAGTCGTCCGTTGGAGAGTTCTTTGTCATTAAAATATTTTTGAAAAATCTGTCTCCCCTGAATCTGGGGGATTACACCGTTCTGCTTTATCCTTCCAATTTCAGCTGCATAAAGCTGAGTGGGAGTGTTAGCAGCAGTGGGTCCCTTGGCCGCGCGTGGACAGAGGACCACGGTATGTCCAAAGGAGGAGAGAAGCCAAGACGAATGAAAAAGAAAACACACCTGCTGCACTGCCTCAAGGTGTATTCGCTCTTTCCGGGGAAGGTTTTCTTTTACGTCGCTGTGTATTTTCATGCATACCACGCGTTGCTGTTCCACCACGAGCCGGTTCTCGTTACGGTGGTTTAGGTGTTACCATTCAGCACGGCACGGAGGGGGAGTAGCAGCTTTGTATGCAGGGCGGGCACATACAGGGGTAATGCATCCCCGCCCCGCGGTAGGCACCAAAGGGTTCTTTTTTATTTTATGTTTTACATTTTATAGTTTTTTTTTTTTATTTTTTTTTTATTTATTTTTTTTATTTTTTTCCAAACCGAGCAAAGTTGAGCATCCTTCCCTGGCGGGTTAAACTTACGGTTAGCTGCGCACGTGGAGGGGTCCTTCCCCGTGTCGGCCAGAAGGGGAGCCACCAGTTTAGCAATAAGGGAAAGGATCAAACAGGAACGAAGTGGGTCGGCGTTACAGAGTGGATTCGCCGATTGACATTTCCCCGTTGAGTTATCGCTTCTCCAGGATGGACTCCATCGTCCTGCCCGGGGAAGCCCTCGGGAGCTGCGACGTGTACGTTGGCGGCGAGAACACGTACATCCTGCAGAAGGAGGTGAGGTCGGCCATCCTGGGGAGAAGGCAGCTCGAAAGGGACGATGACGGAAAGCAAGTGATCAGCGTAGCCAACACGAAAGAGTTCATGCCGCTGCCACAAGCAGGAGACCTCGTGACGTGTAAAATATATCGAGTTACCTTTAACTTAATCTATTGCAACATCGTCTTGCTGAACGGTAGAGCGATAAAAAATCCCTTCAGGGCATTCATCAACAAGAGCGACATCCATGTGTACGAAGGAGAGTTAGGGGACAATTTTGAATGCTTTAAACAGGGAGACATAATCAAGGCGAAGGTTCTTTCGGTAGGACAGCATGGGTCGTACAAGCTGTCTACCGTGGGGTCCGACTTGGGAGTCATCTTGGCGCTCAGCGACAAGGGTGAGTGGGAAAAAAAGGGAAAAAAAGAGAAAAAAAAGGAGAAAAAAATAACAAAAAAATGGAAATAAAAAACCAATAAAATAACAGCAAAATAACGGCAAAATAAGAGTGGCGTCTCTGCGCAATTACAGATGGCGCCGCCTCGGCAGAGGCCTAATTAATCCGACGAGTCTGTCGACGTTAAGCGCCCACCCCCCTCTCTTCATATTATCCCCCTTTTTTTCCCTCTCCTTAACCACGCAGGTGAAATTATGAAGCCCGTGGCCTGGAACCTGATGGTCAACCTGAGCGACATGAGCTTCGAGAAGAGGAAGGTCTCCAGGGACTTCTTCGTCCCGCTGTGAGGGAGCGGAGAGATGGAGTTGCATTGGATTGCGTGGTGTGGATTTGCAGCGGTGTGACGTTGCAGCAGGGTGAACTTCTAGCCGGGTGAACTTCTAGCCGAGTGAGTGCTGGGCCCACTTCCCCTCCTACATGAGCAGCTTCAGCAGGTCTGCAGAAACCGCGCTGCTGTTGCGACGGAAGGAGGCGGGTTCTTGGTTGGAAACTTCGAGGGGAACCTCTTCTGTCACCTGGTTGCTCTCCCCCCCCTTCTTCACGGTGACAAACCGGAGCGGGCAAACTGGTCTCTTCACACGAGGGCCGTTTTTCCTCTTACGTTGTCGGCCCCCCTTTTGGATGCCGCTTCCCTTTTGAATGTTCCCCTTGGGGTGGCGACTCTTCCCTTCAGTGGGTCCCTCCCCACTCCTAAGCATCCCATGAGTGGAGCCTCCATTCTTTTCCACATACGCCTCATACCCTTTGTACATGTCTTTCAATGCGAGAGTGAACTTGTCTTTCCTAGACATCCTTCGATAGAGAGAAGACGACATGATGTCACTCCAGAGGAAGTTGTCCTTTATAAGTTTTAAGTGCCAAAAGTAATCTCGTACAATATTCTTCCTTTTCTTCCCTCCAATCAGTTGATTGTTCAGCGTGCGCACGGCTTTCATGGCGTCTTTTTTGTTGTCAAATTCTATGTAGCCATCTTGGTATTTGACGATTTTTTTTTTTTTTTTTTTTTTTTTTCCCTCCAAGTGTGGTCCATCCTTCTTCCTCAAGTGAGAGGAGAGGAAACCTTCCCTTTCTTCTTCCCCTTCTTCATCCTTCGCTTTGTTTAAATGTATTTTGCTAACCGATCCGTATTGACTGAATATTTCTCGTAGGCGCGCTGCAGTTAACCCTATTGGTACGTCCGTCAGGTAAACAATGCCCTTTTTGGATTGCTCCCTCCTGACGTGCTTCCACAGGTTGTCGTTGAATTGGAAGCGCTCGTCCGTTGGGGGGGTGTCCCCGGGATTGGTCTCTTCCCCACGGTGGGATTTTTCCAACATGGGCGGATGGGTCCGTTCCACACGGTTGCCTTCTTCTAACATGGGCGGCTGCCTCTCCTCCGCTTTTTCCCTATCTTGGTCCATTTTCCGGTTTGAAAAAGAAAGAAGAAACGGAGGGGGAGGCATATCCAGTTTGTACCTCGTTGTGTAGACCTTTTCCTTTTTTCCCTTTCTTTGCCGCTTCCCAATTGGGGGTTGCATTCCCCGCGCCAAACGTGCGGGAACTGTTCGCCGGGTGTTTCCTCTCAGTTGGAGAAAACAAGGTGAAGATGCTTCTTCGCCACTCGCGCGGGGAAACGGGAGCGCCGCCCTATGCGCTTTGTATCTATAATATAAGTTTATGTATGTAATACGTATGGATTTTTTTTTTTTTTTTTTTCCCCTTTTTTTTTTTTTTTTTCGTATATTGTTTGCGTCATTAATTCCTAAATTAACATCGTAATTTTCCCTACATTTTCTTTTTTTTTCTTTTCTTTTTCGCCCAGGAAGCACCGCGCAAAGAACGAACGAAGAATCATTTAGCACGCCCCCGTTCCCCCCCTGTTAAAGAATTCTCCCTCCCAATCTTCCAACCGCCCCACTCTGTTAATAAGTCCAGGAGTGGCGTTCTCCTACTACGCGGTGCATCCCTTTGCACCACATAGGTTACCGCAGTGAGACCAATTTTGACTGAAACAGACAGATGGAGGGGACACAATATTATAGCCGGCTGGTCCAGCTGAACATGCTAGCCGAAAGTATCTTCTGCCAGAATAGGCAGCTAATCCTCATCGATAACAACCTGAACGGTGTCCGAACCACCAGGGGGGGATACCGGCGAAACGAGATCGACAACAAAATGGGAAAGCTCGGAACGTATAGCAATTTGTTCATCACGCTCAGCAAGACCCACATAAACGAGCACCTGGAGAGCGTAAGTGGGAGGAGCGACCCACGGGGTGGTCGGCTAAGCGCCATCATCACATGGACGCGTAGCCGCATAGCAGCATAGCCATACCGTCATACCGCCTGAACCGACTCCACCTCCCCAACGCAGGTCGAGAAGGTCCTTTCGGAACGGCGAGACAAATTAAGGGAAAGGAGGAAACTGCTGATTAGGGAACTGGTGAAGCTGAACCCCAGCGTGACGGAAATGCCTCTGGAGGAGGCCAAGTTTCTGCTCAGGTGAGCGTCACAATAGACGAATTGGCGAAGGGACGAAATGACGAAGTAACCGATTGACGAACTAACCAAGTGACGAAGGAAGGATGCGCGCTGCCCCTCCTGAGATGCCCTAATTGCCGCAACACCGGGGAAAGGTGCTCTCCACGGTGAGGTGAGCAAAAATGGTGAAGCGAGAAGGGTCCACACCCCTCCGTTGCGGTGGAAGAACTTGTGCATATGCGCAAAGTTGTGCTAGGGGACGAACGAAGGATGGTCATTCCTGGGTTGACACCTCTGCGTTACGTCCGTGTAAAAAAAAGCTTTTCTGTTGTAAATTTTTTTTTTTTTTTTTTTAAGCCAAAAAGATAAGAAATCGGAAAAGGGACAGCCAAGTCAATGTGGACTTGGTTGTGCCGTAATGAGAATGCAAAAATAAGTGGCGTCCTTTTGGGGGCGTCTCCAGAGGAGTGTTCTTTCTGCCCCCACGTGAGACACTTTTTTGTCTAACCCGCCTTTGTGGAATTCACCCCGTTGTCACTCCTTGGAAAACATCACCCCTTCGCCGCTTCATCGCTTCGTCGCTTCCCCTCCTTAAAGGGGCACCTGCTTTCGGTGACCCAATGATTGGCCCCCTCCTCTTCGTAAAAAATGACCCGCTTGTCGGACAAGTTCTTTCGTGCCCCACTACTCCTAGCACTCTGGTACTTCTGACTTATGCTTTCTGTTGGGTACGCCTCCATGTAGAACTCCCGCATCCGATTGTAGCTTTGTATGTAGTCCTCATCGTGTTGAATGTTGTGCCTGTAGGGTGGTTTGAGGGGGGAGGGTATAATTATTTGTTCTTTTCCCCTTAACGGAGAGTGTTAGGGGGGTACACCGTTGGGAACGCGATACACATCCTTCCTCCCGGAGGGGGTGACATAAAAAGAGACTGCACATAAGTCACATGTGTGTGTATGTAAAGTAGGATGAAGTTAACCACCCAGGTGGAGGTGCTTCTTACCAGCCGGAGACATGCACCTTTGGGTTGTAGTATCTGGATCGGTTGTAGTCGGAGCATTCGCCCCTCGACATCCTATGGTCCGGCATTTTTGGAGGAGCAAAGTATGGGGAGGAACAAATTAACGTGCATGCGGATGGTCACGCGGGGGAGTAAGTACTGCACGTGTGTATGTGCATAGGGGCTAACATTAAAAGGAAGAGATCTTCTTATTGGCATTTTTCTTTAAGACATTCGTATTGGTGTGTGGAACGTCCTAACTGGAACCCTTTGGCGAAGGATAAGATGTTTTTTTTTTTACCTTCGAGAGGTGCCCATGTTGAAATATGTATCCAACTACCTACACAGCTACTTTTTCACGTAGATATTTAATTATGTGTCCATTTTTTTTTTTTTTTTTTTTTGCATGCCCATGTTGCAGTAGCTAGCTAAGTCACCACCACAGTCAAGGGTACAAACATATAGCTTTGCTTGCCTCTTTTGGCAAACTTCCTACCCACTGCTCGTGAAATTGTGGTGGGAAGTGAGTAGTCCCCCTCGCGCGCAAGTAGACACTTGTTTGGGGAATAATCTTGCTAGAACTGATCTGCTAAACGTTGCCTAGCTTGGTATGCATTTTTTTTTACCTGACCTGTTCATACATTTTGTGCACATTTTTGCGTATTTTTTTTTTTTTTTGTCCCACACAGCAAGCAATGTATCAGAACTAGCCAAACGGGCGAAACACGGCACGAATTTGAGCGCACATAAAGTTGCCTCTCTCGTTGAGACCGCTGGACGGGGGTAAAGACCTACGCGGAGCAGGCGTCCCCCGGAGTTGTCCATGACCAATTTGGCGAGGGATAAACGTTGGGTGGTAATATAGTGACAATGGGGTGGCAGCGTAGTAACAATGTAGACACGACGGGGTGGCCATTTTTTATTCATTTCTCTGGGAGGACCAGTCGGTTTGCTCCTGAAGGGTGGAGGGGTTGTGGCCAACCCATTTTGGGGGCAGTGATCGATTGTGTTCTTCCCCTTGGCGGTACACATTTCAGTGTGGGTACAGATAAATATGTGAACATAGGGGCAGTGCGAAGTGTCTGTGTTTCCTCTGATGGAGAACTCCACTTCAAGTGGCCCTCACCCCACCCCAGCTGCAGTTCCTCTACACACTGCGACTGAAAATCTGTTCCTTTTTCCCCCCCTCGCCGCATCGTTCTGCCTGAACAGGTTAATAAAAAATGAGTAACTGAACGGATAGGTAGAAAAAAAATGAGTGAGAGTAGGGAACCTCCTGTAGGCCTACATGAAAGGCACTTCACGTGGCTGAACATGGCACATGCGCAAATGGGCGCTTAAAAAGAGCACGTAAATATGTGAACATAAGCGCGCGCATCGGTGAGGGATTTTTCCGCCGCCAACTGCTCCAACATGAATGCTGATATGCCCTCCTAAAGTGGGAGAAAAAAAAAAAAAAAATGCCGAATTGGTGCCCACTTGCGAGACGCAGCCCCGAGGATGGAATTTCTTCGCACAACGTCGATTTGGGGCAGCTCACAACATGCGCAGTGGAGCAACGCTTTAAAAGAACAGAACGGAGAAAGAAGCGAGCGGTTATGCGACGAAAGGACCGCAGAAGCAACCAAACGAACGGTTACGTGGAAATAAAAACGCAGTGGGGAGGAGGCACCATTTTTGCGGAGAAAAGGATATATAGCCACCTCTCCCCGCAAACGAAATCGCACTTGCAGTCGAGATTAGGAGTCCCCAAATTAATAATCGCTTTAAAGTATTGGCCGCCAGTTATTTCTGGCACTCTCCCTGTATAGGCATCGCCACACCTGCAGGGAGGTCGAAGGGACCGAACAGAAGAAAACCCCGCAGTGACGCTGCACACTTCTTTTTTTTTGAGCGCTTCTCTCCTTCGCCCCCTCTTCATTACCTCCCAGTTGCTGCAGCGAGGATGAGGAAGCTGAGCGTGATAAACGAGACGGTCTGTAACGTGGCCCACTTAGCGAAGGCGAACAGGAGGAAGCTATCCTCTCTCGTAATAACCTCTTTGCCATCTGCCTTGACGAACAAGCGCAGCCTGTGCTATGTACGGGGCAGAAGGAACCTCACAGAAAGTCCCATCCCCTGTGATAGAGGAAAGAAAACGACGTTTTCAAACAAATCCAGTGTCGTTCTCATGATGGCCCTCTTTTCCGCACCAAGCTTGCTGTACACGAAGAGGAAGAAAGATATGATGAACGGAGACAATTTGACCAACTGCGAAGGACTCGAAAAAGTACACTTAGCAAAAAAAGACCAACTGAAAAATGGAGAAATGAAAGAAATAAGAATACGTGGAGAGAAGGATACCGTCTTGTTGGTGCACGTGAATGATAAGTATTACTGTATGGGCCCAAAGTGTCCACACTATAGTGCGCCATTGAAGACAGGAGTGTTGACGAAGGATTATGTGACTTGTCCATGGCACGATGCGAAATTCGATTTGAAAACAGGAGAGTGTATTAACGGTCCTTCCTTCGATGACATCCCAAGGTATGAGGTCGTTGTGGAGGGGAATGATATTTATGCTTACTTACCGGAGAAGATGGAATTATTTCAGAAAAAAAAAGCATGTCCATGTTCAGGCAAATGTGAGAAGAAGACGATACTGATAGTGGGGGGTGGAGCGGCAACCTTGGGAGCACTGGAAACCTTCTTACAGATGGGTTACACGGGCAGGTTAATCGTATGCAGTAAGGACTCGTACAAGCCGTATGACCGCCCTAAGCTGTCAAAGAACATTTCTAATTACGACTCGGTGGAGGAGCTGTACGAGGGGATTAAACTGAAAGAGGACGAGTACTACCAACGGGGTAATATCAGCTACATCCACAATGTGTCCGTGGAGAGAGTGGACGTGGAGGGCAGGAAGGCGCACCTGAGCAATGGGGAGGTGATTCAGTACGACAAGATGCTGGTGACCACGGGGGTCCGCCCCTCCCCCTCGCCGCTGGGGGGAGGCGGCGTAGGTAGCGGCGGGATTGGCAGCGACGTGGAGGCGGAGAACCTGCTGACGCTGCAGAGCCTACAGGATCACATGAAGATAGCCTCATACGCGAAGGAGGGCAGCAGGTGCGCCATCATCGGCTCGTCTTTCATCGCCTGCGAACTCTCCTCCGCTCTGAAAAAAAAAAACGTGAACATAACGATGGTGTCAAAAGACATCGTCCCGTTTTACACCGCCTTTGGAGACAAAATCGGATCTGTTGTGCTGGACATTTTAAAGGACCAAAAAGTTACGTTTTATGGAGGGGTCCACCCAACAGAATATATCTTTGACAGAGGAGGGGGACGATTTCTAAAGAGAGTGAAGTCAATACATGGGGTCAGGTTGAGCAATGGAGAGGTGATCAGCTGTGATTACGTGGTGGAGGCCTTAGGTTGTCTGCCCAATTCGCACTTCCTCGACGACCGATTTAAAAATGAGAAGAAGCAGATTATTGTGGATAAGCATTTTCGAGTGAAGGACTCGCTAGACATGTTTGCTGCGGGGGATGTCTGCTCGTTTCCCTACTTCGTCACAGGGGAGATGGTAAATGTGTGTCACTGGAATGTAGCCATACAGCAGGGACGAATCGCGGCACATAACATGCTCAGTGACGACAAGAAGGAGTTCAATTTTATACCTTTCTTCAATACAAACATATTTGGGAAGAATTTTCGCTACTCTGGATTTGTCAGGGATGCGGAGAAGGTCATATACGAGGGGGACCTGCGCAAGCACAACTTTGTGGCCTACTTTGCTAAGAAGGACAAGGTGTTTTCCATCCTGACTCTGGGGAATGCAAAGATGGCTGCCCTGAATGAGTGCCTCTCGAAGGGCAGGGTGGCCAAAGTGTACGAGCTGGAGGGCGGCCTCCAGAACAGCGACAGCATGATCGCCTCGATGCGGGAATGGGTTGAAGCGGGGAGCGGTTAACGTGGCGTAAGAGGTTAACCTGTGCTGCGCCGCCAGCTCTCCAGTTGGCTCCTCCGTTGTGATACGGTACAACATGTGGAGCGGCTCATCATACAGTATGTGAACCGCCTTGTGTGCTGCTTTATGAACCGCTTTGTGGATCCCCCTGGCAGGCGCCCCGCCCTGGGTGACCATTTCCGTTCCACCCTGTTGCCCCCTCTTTTTT